CACCCGGAGAGAGCGCCTTGTCGGCACGGAGACGTGGTCGATTCTCAGGAACAAGACCATGGGATTTGGCATATGTCCGGGCCGGCTGGGTGCCCTGTGCCGTCGGGTACGTGCACGTGAGGGATGGCCGGACGCACGGATCTGACGTTCCCAATCGACGACGGAGCGGGGGCCGACCCAGGATTGGCCAAAGACTGGCCCCACTATTAGACGTCATTGCTAATTGTGCTTGGCTATAGAAAAAATGATAACTCTTTCACTACAATTAAGGACTAAGGCTAGTGCCATATATATAGCCCTAATGGTCCTAGTAGCGCTAGGTCCACCACTGCAACTGAGGATTCATATGCGCCAGGGACCGTGAGTTGGTACGTCTGGAATTACTATTCTACTAGCAAACATGCTCGAGCTGCAACGGGACGTTAGTATATTTTGGAACCGGATTCCATATTATGATTAGATACGAGTCATTCTAACTTGTATGGACATGGGTCATGAGTTTGCATTATATATAAGACAAAGAGAATGCAGGGACATTATATTTTAGATATAGAGAACTTTGGTGCAATCTGATTGCAAACGCAATGTAACAACTAGAGCGTGTGTTTGTGTTTGAGTTTGTGCTTGCTGCAATCCTTTCATGTACTTTAAACTCATCCAGCCCAAGGGCTACCTAATGCAATGAATCGTGGGGACCCTTTCCCGCTCCGTCGAATTAAAAAAAAAAGAAATAAGTAGAGCAGGTCCAAAGAAAACTGTTCGCTCTTTAATATTAGATTAGGTAGCGTGATCGTACGTTGCTATGGGATAACTAAATTTTTTTACTAAAAACATACGAATCGCATAATAAGATAACAATACCGTGAAATTAAATACCAACGTCCATATGTTACACCAATCATCACTATTTGTGGGACATAGTCAGGACGGGTTCCGAGTGCTCGACGTACCAACAACCGACTACTCGGCTGCGGTGTCCGACTACTTGGCTGCACTTTCCGACTACTCAGCCACAAAGGTTAAGCTAATGCTCGGAGCTCCCTAGCCCGAACATCAGGATCGCACGCTGATTCTTCTACTCGGCCGTCAATCAAGCTAAGTCACGCTTTAATTTTTAATTTTTATATCTCCAGATATTATACATGTGCCTCCGGGGCCATACCTTAGTTGCGTTTGGACTATTCATACAGCTCCACACTCACCTAACAAGTGTATAACATGCGCTCCGCGCGCATTTTCTTTTTTTGCGCAACACCGACGGCTCTAGTCTTTCCTCTTAACGGTTGTAAAAATACTTGGATAGTACGAACTCACATTTGTGACGCTTGATTACTCGCACGGCTCACATGGTTACGGTCATGAACCTCACGATCATACGCCAGAGATTTAAGTGCTTACACATAACGGGTCAACTACTTAGGGAATTTACACAGCCTAGCAAGAGCAAGACACGAAATTTTTTTACATGCATTTCATAATACTAGGATCTGCTCCAGATCTATTATTTTACATGCATGGGACCCGCTCCCGACTTGATATCTTGTATATTAATCACAACATATTTCTATGTTTACCTTGCAGGAGGCCAGATTTTCACCACGCCGCTGGGTGAGGTATGCTCATGAGAGCTACCTTACTTGGCCACCGCGCTGGCTACTTCCGTCACTCTGATCAGGCATCTCCGCCTCCACGACTTAGTTGGCACTAAGCTAGGGGGCTTGGCCATTGCCTTGGCTTAGTCGGTATCGCTCCGACTACGCCCGGGGGCTTGGATTCAAGATGGAAGACCAAATTTACAAGATTCCAACCACTCGGAGACAAGCGGCCATTGATCATTGTCTTCGAGGGGTTTACTCGCCTGCACCCTTGAGAACGTCTATAAGATCCTATAATCGACTACCGAGTAGTCGGATTGTAGGCTCGGGGGCTGCAGGATATATACCCTTAGAGGATGCATTCAAATTTCTTCGAAAAGGAATTACAGACAAGACCCTTCAACTCTTTGTTCCAAATAGCAAGAGGCTTAGGGGCTAAGCATATATGCTTCACCTAGCGATGACGCATATTGACTTCAAGAACACTTCATGGTTTCTCTCAGAAAGCACTCCTCCGACGAAGCTTATTTTTACTCGGCAAGACCCGGAGGAACAAGAAGGCTTCCAAGATCAACCATACAGTGCTCGGGGGCTTGTGGGACATAGTCCCTGGTACCTCCAAGGAAGGGAGAAGATCTAGTCCGACTAGAAATTCCCGACATGTAATTCTAGTAACATTGCTATCCTGTAATCCTACTAGGATTCTTACATTGTAACCGACTAGGAGACTTGCCTCCTGAGATATATAAAGGAGGTCAAGGCTCCCTAGATCGACAGGCCACGACTAACAATCATACAATCAATCTAACGCAAAAGGCTACACGCCGACTAGACGTAAAGGCTATTACTCGACAAGAGGGCCCGAACCAGTATAAATCGTTCGTCTCTTTGCGTTTACTGTCGAGTTCTGCGTACGCCGAAGCCCTTCGAACATTGTCCTGGGTAATCCCGTGACGAGCTGCCAGTCATCAAACACCGACACTATTATATTATTTTTCATAAAAGCATGAATAATTATAGTATAATTTTAGTCTTAACAAGAAATCAAAACAATCTAGTTCAACTATATCCCTTATAATTACGACTGTCTGGTCTGTACACTTAAGGCAGTGTTTTAATCCTGTAGATTGAAATTATCCTAAAATTTCCGTCATAAGCCAATAGCTAGATACCCAAATCATTTTGCATTCTTTGGCCATCTCATGCAAAGTCAGATATAATTTAAGGCCAGAGATTACGCAATGACATAGCTATGGTTTGCTTCAACCCACCGCTCAGTCTAATCTGCAAACTTCAGAGAAGACATTATTCAATAGGAAACCTGATGATTATTCTAGACGATTCATAGTAATGCACTTGAAACAAATAATTGCACTAAGCAGTTCCACAACTGCAGTAACAATTTCAGAACATGCACAAATGATTAATCCATAAAAACATCTGAAAACAAATAAAGAGGCGAAAGCATTTACAGTCTACAAATTTCGAGCTTCTATTTGATAGTAAGACAGATGTTACGGTCATAATGACCTTCTACAATAAGCATTGGTGCAGCTCAAAATATTTATGTTCACTCAATTTGCCATGTTGAATGAGTTTCATACCTAGTGCAACATTAAAAAGTGTCAAACTACATTTTATTTTAATGAGGCTGCACAGGTCTGGGTCCACCAGCAATATGTAGTTTTCAGGAGTTGTTGAGCCCTGAGTGTCATCATCAACAGCCCCTCACCCTTGTCACTGTCGTTGCATTTGCCGCTCGTGGCATGGAGGTCTCGAGCCCCAACGTAGCAGTGAGCTTGGCAGCCGAGGGGCAGCCCAATTGTTATAGCGTGTTCATGGAGCCACTAATTTCCTTTATCTGCAATTATACATTCTCCCAGGAACAAAGTTCTCAGAGACCTGTTCAGACAATTTACAATGACATGTTACTGTTGTGATATGATGCAGTAGCAGCTACATTTATAAATACACTATACATCCGTAAATAATGCGCTGAAAAGGACTTGCTAAAGAAATCTAGAAAAAAATCCTAAGGAAAAAAAAAGACTTGCAACAGAGCATCCACAAGGTTTCTTGGCTCTAGTACAAAAAAAAAAGTAGCTTCAGCACATAAAAATAATAGTAAATATTTGAAATTGGAGTATATCAAACGCAAAACTTCTATGCACATCAATTATTGAACTTCCTTAGTCAACTGATTCAACAACATAGTTACTGAATTCAAGCGAAGAAATAAAAAATTAAACCATCTGAAAGATTTATAGGAAAAAATTCACTAAGATTGAATCCAATACATATGACCAGTCAAAAATTAAATACAATATCAGAGAGGACAGAGACAAGCTATGGTGAACCAATCGGTGAATGGGCAAGTGGCTACATTCTGTCCTACAGTTTCACCGGCAGTCTTTCTATCAAAGCAGGTGCATCGACAAATTTATGGCATTCTCTGTGATAAGAAGGTATCACAAAAGTTAAAAGACAAGTTTTATAGAACGGCGATTAGACTGGCTATGTTGTATGGAGTAGAATGTTGGCCTATAAAGATTTGACATGTTCAACAACTGAGTATTGCAAAAATACGTATATTACGATGGATTTGTGGTCACACAAGAATGGACCGAGTTTGGGACGATGATATACGTGATCGCTTAGGGGTAGCACCAATTGAAGAAAAGTTTATCCAACATCGGTTGAGGTGGTTTAACCATATCCAAAGAAGACCTCCAGAGATACCAGTGCATTGTGGAGTTCTAAGCCAAGCTAATAATACAAGGAGAGGTAGAAGAAGACCGCAATTGACATGAGAGAGGCAATAAAAAGATATTTGAAAGCTTAAGATATATCTAGAGATCTATGAATATAAGTGCTTGGAAAGCAGCTATTGAAGTGACTGAACCGTGACTTAGGGCTCTTGGTGAGTTTCAACTTAGTCTATCCCAACTTGTTTGGGACTGAAATGCTATGTTGTTGTTGTTGTTATATTTGGAATCAGGAATCAAGTTCTCACAAGAAATGCAGTACCATTTGGAGGGTCATGATTGAAACCACATGACTCCATAGCTAGCAAAAACCTTATGTATATCAGTAAGTGTTGTTCATAGAAAGTCCATGTTTCAAAATTAATCATAAACTTCAATAAACTCAGCATATACAGTGCTCTAGCATAGTGTTCATTTGCATAACTGGAGTGCTTTTGTCTATTGTAATTTTTGCCTTAAGTGGGTGCCTTAAGTGGGTGCATAACTTGATACAACGAGAGCGGAAGAGTTTTAATTTCATGATTGCGGACAGACCGACCCCAGAAGACAAATCGGATCAAATGATTCAGACAAGGGGGAGGAGTATTACGCGAGGCGGAGCATGAGCGGGGCACAGTCCTTTTGGTTTAATGAATAATACCTAATCCATAACTCCAAGCCTAATAATGCAATTGCAAGTTTTGATTGAGCCTGAGCACTTGTTGGCGCAGACGCTCTTGGGCTTGTGCCTGAACAACACCTTCTTCTTCCTATGCGAGGTGTTCTCATTTGTGTTCTCATTTCTCAACGGTGAGCATGACCTTGCTTGGCTCGCTAGCACGGAATGCCTCCTCACTGGATCCCATCTTCTTGCCCTTGTGTAGGAGCCGTGGTCCGCTGGCACAAATTCCTCCTCGTAGTTCACATCAGCCAGCACCATTAGGTCCCATGTCAGGGTTGCAGCAGCGTACAACGAAATGGCTATGTCAACAATCCAACTGGAAAATGAATGCCTTCAACACAGTCAATAAAATCAGAATTGGAGGATAAAGTTTATTTCCTGAACAACACTATTTTCATACTTGTAAGTGGCAAATTATGGAAGCAGTGCTAGAAATCCCAATTTTAACCCAAGACAAAACCACAAAAAAAAAAAATGTACTAACTGATTTTTTTCTTATTCTGAACAAGATTATATAGAACCTTATCATGTACTACACAATCTCATTGATAATAACAATATATCAACCGATGCCATGGCATGAACTAATATTTGCCCAGAGAGTTGTTCCAGTAATACATTTGCCGATATCCATAGAGACTCTTCACTAGAATCAAAGAAATAAATTAAAAAAATATGCATCAGTGACCATGGTAGAACAATACCTGATCTGCCAGTGATATTGCAATATCTATTGCTAGCTTATTATTCCTCGCAATATTGATTGCAAGTTTATTACTCCTCACATATATGAAAATTCTTGTCCTCATTCTCTCCTAAAGAGCAATAGCAATAACAAAAGAAGAAAGAACACCCCATGAAAATGTTACAAATCTAGCTGCATTCATGAGTTTGGCCTAGTTAATTTACAACACCTGATTGATGTACAGATCATGCATATTACATAGTTCGACCAGTATGGAAATTTACACAAGGACTCCTTATATGCCACGAGGTCATATGACATGCATACACAAATGTTGATCTCTCTGTTTTAATGTGTTTGAACCAAATTGACATTAGCAAAGGATACCGACATGATTGAGATTGGTTCTGAGACTTGAACCTACTAAGCTCGAATTTTCAACACCAATTTATGACACATGAACAAACAATGAACCACCAGCCTATTGACTGAACCAAGCATCCGAGAGATTTCCACTCAGCAGCAGGGAATTTCATCAAACACCTTACATGCATATCTCAACTGACCAAGAGTGCACAATCGCAGACAGAGAGGGGCAGTGTACTGACGCACCTATTCCTTGTGCGCGACCAGCACATCCTCCTGCGTGGTGGCCCTCGTAGTTGATTGCCTCCATGCACTTCGCCAGCGCCCTCCTCGACTTAAACTGCTGCAACCACCGCGTCTCCGCCCCGCACGCCTGTGAGGAAGAGTGCGAGAGGAGGAAGAGGGAGGCCGGAGGCATGACAGGAAGAGGGTGGACAGAGGGCTCATCACCTCGATGGTGGTATGGCTGGCCGGCCGCCATCCATGCCACAGTGAGCCCCGCCCCCAACCAGGTCCTTGCCTACCAGTTTCGGCGTCGGCGTGCGCGAGGCGGAGATGGAGCGGAGGCGCGCGTAAGGGAACTCGCGAGTCGCGACGCGAGATTGAAGCTGAGTCCACCAGGCGCGGGCGCGGGCGAGCGACGCGCCGGTTGGGTTCGGATGGAGGCAGAGCAACGACCCAAGTTACGATATCGCACCAAAATAATATCTACTTTAGTCTTTTTAGTTATGACGATTACGAAAAATAGAGTAGATAGACAGAGATGAAAACATATAGACGATGAGGATATATTAGTTCCGATTGATCGAACGCGTGGAGCATGATCAATAAGCATACAACCTCCTAGAGAACGTTCATGACTTTTTTCATAGGGGGTACAAAGTATGGAGCTCAAACAAAGCTTTGTGAGACCTAGTAGAGATACGGACGCTAATATACACAAGTGTGCATTTACCCCTATAAAAGCCTATACGCACATCCTACCTCTATGAACACATCCGAAGAATTAAATTGGACCGGTAAATCTTGAGATTGACAAAGTCACCACATGATCCTCGTTGTCGATGGATATATCACCTACCACTGAAATAATAGTGTCATTAAATTATATAATAATCCAGAAAAAATGTGAGCACCTGAACACGGGTGAACAAGTTCCACCACAAGGAACCCAATCTGTCGAGCCATGCTTAGTTGATAAGAGGTACAATAATTTGTTGGGTGAAAAGGAATGAAATTGTTTGACAAAGATTGACATTGCAGGGGCTAAAGCATTTCCAAGAGTTTCCTAAATCTCTTCCTAATTCTTGATTTTTAGAAAGATAAGAAAAAATCCCTCTCCAACAACTTCTAATACTCTCCTAAAATTTACGCACTTAGAAAATCCACCTCCGTTCCACGTAACTTTGCATGGCTCCTCCATCGCGCGGATACTGCTTTCCGTGCATATCGGTCAATCAATCTAAAGGTGGAAGGGTGTGGAAAAGAATAAGGAGTAGGAAAAGATTCCGATGCAAATGTACGAGAGAGAAAGAATATATAAAAGTGGTTACAATAATTTAGAAATAATATAAGATCCCTCATGTAAAATTATCTTCTATATTTTAGAAGTGGATTATTAGAAACTCTTGGAGATGGCCTCTTTTTTTCTCCCAATATCTTTTTAGGAGTTGTAAAACTACATATTTTTAAGAGGAAAAATAGGATACTCTTGTAGATGCTCTAAACAATGAACGATCGTTATATCACTCTCCCTTGGTGCCAGTGCTAAAGTACTTGTAATACCTTTTGGCACTGTAGTTGTTGCACATAGGCAAAGGGAACGGCTATAGCCACATCTTCCTCGGTCAACGCACGCGGCTGTGACACACGTCTCTGCAGTCCTGCACATCAACTCTTCTCTGCAGTCATCATATCTGTGTCGTCCGTTAGCATCCAACGGTGAAGCTCACAAAACTCATCTAGCAGGCCATACGGGTAGGTTACGGTGGTCCATCTAAGCCCGCAACACCGGAGGTACACGAGATTGCCATATGCAAGTCGGGTCCTTCCCCTTGCCGCCGCTCGCCACCTTCGCCGTCGCCGTCGATATTGCCGCGATCTACTCTTTTGGTGCTATAAGGTCGATCCGCTCTTTTGGTGCTGCCACTCCTCTATCCTTTCTGTCTCTCATGCAAGGCTGCAATGTCGAGCTCGCCGTCACGGCTAGAGACTCGCTGCCACAGTACTCCACCACGGCGGCCATGGCCCTACTCCGTCGAGCGCCGATGGCCACGCGGCCCTCCAGCTCGGCGCATGCAGGCGGCTGCGGCCCTACTCCGTCGAGCGCCGACAGCTGCTCGCCCTCCAGATCAGCGCGTGCAGGTTTATTTCTTCCAGTCCCATTTGGTTGCTTCCGGAGCTAATCCAATAGAGAAGTACCTGCTCGATTGCATGGTCGTTGCCGACATCCTGTGTTAGGTTGATCTCTACCAAGTCGGCTCAACGGTTAACTTGGGTCCTGATCCGCGCCCTAATCGGAGGCGCCCAACCAAATCATGGTTGGTGGGCCCCGTCGCACTGCGCTATCTAAAGAGGTGGGGGCCGACGGCTCACGGTACGAGGTTCACCGGTCTTGCCAAAGCACCCCACCGACAAACCCTAACCGATCTAAGGGAGCATAGCAGCGACGGGAAGTGCGCCACCGTCCTCCTCGACTCGCTGTCACCCACGCCGCCACTCTCCGGACCTCATCGCGCCGCCACCGATCTAGGCTGCACCACACCATCACCATGGCTTCCTCCTCCTCTAAGCCCGATGGTCAGCTACCTCTACACCTCTCTCTCTCTAGTCTCTCTCCAGTTCATGTTTTAGTAAGAACTCGTTGTTATCCATTTCTAGTGACGTCGGCACCCTTAGATCTACTCCTAGTCAATCCTAAGGAACTAACAATGGTATCTGTTGGTATAAATTAATGCACACAGAATAATCCGCAAGCGCATGGATATTATACCGATGTAGCACTTCACCGAGAGTACCTAATTTTATATCAAACTTGAGGAAACGTGTGTGAGAATAACTAAATCTAACTTATCCCAATTTCACAATCAAGGCTATATAATAGGAGCGTAGAGAACACTGCTAAGGTCTTTTGGTTCTAACTTCGGTAAGCTTTGTCTTCTATTGTTCAATTCTAGGGATATTACTAGAGAAAACTCAGGTAGAGTATGTTTTCTATAGCAACAAGGTCCTACTAGACCTACTAACGGGAGATGGACTACAAAGGATTCAACGAGACTATAAGAGTCACCCTCGTGAACTACCACCGATCTAAAAAATAGGGTACATCCATGAGTAACCGAGTCTAAGCACCACGCTTATACTATGAATACTACTTTAACCTAGGAGCTACAAGGATTAAAGTACTCAAAGAGAGTCACAAACCTAAAGAACAATATGAATACGATGCTTACTTGAATTAGAAGTCGATTACCAGAAAAATCTCAGAAGCAAGCTCAAGAAGAACTTGATTCCGCCAGGGTACAAGCCATAGAGAGAGCACCGACAGGCCGAGACTCCTCCAATACTCTTCCCTCTCACTCTATCTCTCTATCTCAAATACAAGATTAGATCCTATTGAGGACTAATCTTATCTTGATTGCTAGCCCTGATCCTGGTGGACATATGAATTAAGGTTTCTGGCTTCTCAGCTCTCAGGATCAAATGAGGCATCTGCCCTAAAGGAGGGTGTAGGTAGGTATATATAGGCTGAAGCATCAATCCCGAGCCCTCAGATCAAACCGACTTGAATAAACGGTGGAGATGCATTCCTTAAGGCGGTGGAGAACCGACATAGTAATGGAAGGCTGACATGAGGGGCCCATAGGCCGGCCAGCCTGTAGGTGGGGCCAACCGGCCCCACATGTCAGGGCACGGGCTCCGCTTTGGGGATTCGTCTTTTGGAGTCTTCTAGAGTCTTCCCACGCTGTTTACGTGGTGGGATTCCGTAATTTCCTTTGACAAATAGGTCCTCCTTGGCGGGTTTTTATTAAATCTTGCTGGAAACATAGATTTCCCAAAACTCATGAACGCACGCCCGCTCAGGGCACCGTCGCTAGACCGCTCGACGGTGGCGCGTTCACCCTACTGTGAGCGCGCGCACCGGCGAGGGGATCGGCTGCGGCGCCGCCATCTTCCACTGATCGCCATGGCTGGCTGCCGCCGCTCTGCGCCAGAAGAGAGTCGGAGGAGGAGAGGAATCGTGCTAGGGTCAGGGAAGGCCGGTAGGGGGGCGCTTTTTGTTCTCTCCATCGGTGTGCACGGCCGTCGGATCGTGATCGACGGCATGCAGAGCTCAGGACGGCTTTAGGCCCAGGCGGGAAAGCGGTTTTCGGGCCTATGCCCAGGTTGCATCCTGGGCGCGGGGGAGGGCGGCGTGCACGAGTGGGCCATGGGCCGTCTTCACCGCTAGGCCGCAGCAGAGCGCAGCGTGCGACTGGGCCTTCGGGCCGAATGAACTGTACAGGGTAGATTTTGTTTTATTCTTGTCAGAAGCATATTTTGTAGAATTGTATTAACTTTTGATGTTTAATCTCTGCTCAAATTTGAACTAACGGAAGAATTTGTTCAGAGAGTAGTTAAGTACATAGAAATGCTTCTGAATAATATTATTTTTCAAGATTTTTTTCATGTTTCCGCTGCAAATTTGATGTTTATTATCTTATAATTAAATTTAAACCAACGGGAGGATTTAATTTTGAAGAGTAGTTATGATATTCAACAAATTATGATATTGTTATTTTTCGGACCAACGTTGATAATGTCAATATTATAATTTTTTATTCATGAGAGTTTATACATTAGTTCTATTTCTGCCTGTCGATGTTTCGAGTTGCCATCGACAAGTAAATTTTTAATATTGCGCGTCTGGTTCGGATGGTGTGCTTAAAGAACACGAGGTTTATACTGGTTCGGGCAGAATGTCCCTACGTCTAGTTCGTTGCTGCTGCTCATGTTACTAGCACTGAAAGTTCATAGTAGGGGTTACAAACGGACGAGAGAGGGACATATCTCAAGTCACCGCTGAAAGGAGTGAACGGGTGCTGAGAGAGCTTGGTTGCTACTCGGCCGTGTGTTCGGGGTTCAATGGGTTCGTGATGGTTCGATCGAATCTAGCCTGAATTGATATGATGTGTTTCGATGCCCCTTATGAGACACCCTACTTTCCCTATTATAGGCTAAGGGAAAGCATGTGTTACAACGGAGGAAAAAGAAGAACGAGAGAGAGAGAGAGAGAGCCGAAGGCCTTTAGGATCTCTAGGTCCTTCTTCTCCTTCATGTGGGTCCCACCGACCCTGTAGATGTCAATAGAGATGGCTTCGCATTGCGGTCCTATCCGTCACTAGCGCCATGCGCAGGCATCATATGCCGGTCATGGCGCTCCACTCTATCCTGGGGAACGTCGTGGTGAACTGACGCACCCGTCAGTGTTTGTACATGGGC